CTGCTGCCATTCCCAGCCATGGCAAACCCCCAGGGGTTAGGCTGGCAGCAGCCCTGGTGGCACAGCTGCCTTGCTCAGCCCTCAGGAGATGGCACAAAAGATTAAAAAGTAGTCCGTGAGCACAAAGGCATCCAAAGAGAGAGAGAGAAGAGCAGCAAAACCAGGCAGGGCTGCAGGGCCACCATGGTTTCTGCCTTCTCACTGTCCCCTCTGCCACAGCCACATCACCTGGGCAGGAGCAGCAATTCCAGGACTGTGCTGAGGTGCACCGGGCAGGCTTCCATGCCAGTGGCATCTACACCCTGCACATTGCCAACCTCAGCGAGCCCAAAAAGGTGAGCACAGTCCAGAGGGGCTTCCCTGCTGCACCCCGGAGTGTTGCCCACCCAGTGCACATCAGCCCCACACCAGATCCCTGTTGCTTGGCACATCCCAGGGCAGTTTCCCCACCCCATCCAGCCTTGGGGGCTGCACAGGGGCGAAGGCAGCCCCCACGGGATGAAAGCAGGGCTGGCACAGCCTTCAAAATGGGGGCATAAAACTGATTTTTGGCACCCTGACCTATATGCACCAGACCCCAGGCCCTGTCCACATGGAGAGAGGAGAGACCCGTTAACCAGGCACTGGGCACAGCACATCCTCATCAGCCCCTCAGGCAGCTCTAGCACCCATAGAGCACCCACGCTGAGCTGCCCAGCCTGGCAGGGATGCACCTGGCTGTCCCCTCCAAGCCATCCCCAGCCTGTCCCTCGCTCCCCTTGCAGGCATACTGTGACATGGAGACAGACAGAGGGGGCTGGACCATCATCCAGCTTCGTGCCAACGGCAGCCTCAGCTTCCAGAGGAGCTGGAGGGAGTACAAGCAGGTGTGTGCCTGACCGGGGAGGGGGACAACACCCCCAGGCACCCTGAACTCACCCACCCTGTTGCTCCACAGGGCTTCGGGGACGCGTCAGGGGAGTACTGGCTGGGGAATGAGGCCGTGCACCTGCTGACCAGCCGGGTGCCCTACGCCCTGCGGGTCGAGCTGCAGGACTGGGAGGGCAGCCAGGTGTATGCCCACTACGGGAAATTCCAGCTGGGCAGCGAGCGGCAGTTTTACAGGTAGGGGAGAGGCGCCCAGCACTTCCCATCTCTGACTGCCCCCAAGCCCTGTGGGCAGCAGTGGCCAGGGGGAAGGGCTGGGTGTGGTGCCCCAGGGAGGTGTAGGATCACCCAGGGCTTCACAGGGTTGTCCTGGTGTAGTTATGGTGTAGTTATGTCAGGCACATTGCTGTGACGGTTTCATCTCTCCCTGGGCTTCTGAGAAGTAGATTTTTTAATGTAAAAAATTGTATCAAGGCAGTGGGTTTTGCCATCCCAGTGGAAGCAATTTGGGCACTTGCACTGAGGCTCTTTGTTTGTGCAAGGGAGGTGACACAGCTGTGGCCACCAGGTATTCCCAGGGGTGTTGGGCATCCCCAGGCTGTCCATGTCCATGAAGGGGTGCTGTGCTCCTAATGCTCAGCTTGCCATGACCATGTGCTCCTGGCCATGGGCAGGAGGGTGAAAAGCAGGTGGGGGTCTTCACTGCTGGGCTGGAGGTGGAACCAGACCCCAGACATCCCCAGCACCATCCATCCCATGGATGCACCGAGCTGACCCCAGCAGGAGGACTGGAGGAGACTTGGGGGGTCCTCTCTGCCCCAGCATATCCCAACTCCCACTCTGAGAGGCCAAGGACAGGAGGCCAAGCTGGAACTGCAGATCTCTGCCCACATCCCCCTGTGCTGCGTTCAGCTCATGGCAGCCCCTGAGCAGCTCTGGGGGCTCTGTGACCCCCCAGCAGTGACAGTGGCCGTGTTCCTGCTGGGCACAGGCTGTCGCTGCAGGACTACAGTGGCACTGCTGGGCAGCAGAGTGGCCTGGCACTGCAGGGCACCCAATTCAGCACCCGCGATGCCGACAACGACAACTGTCTGTGCAAGTGTGCCCAGATGCTCTCGGGAGGTGAGTGAGGCAGGGGCACAGCCCCATGCGGCACCCGTGGGTGCCAGCCTGCGATGCCACCTTCCCGCCCTTCTCCCTTCCCACAGGATGGTGGTTTGATGCCTGTGGCCTCTCCAACCTGAATGGCATCTACTATCCAGCCCGGAACAACATCCGCAAGCTCAACGGCATCCGCTGGCACCACTTCCAGGGGCCCAGCTACTCCCTGAAGGGCACCCGCATGATGATCCGGCCCGCCAGCTTCTAACGTGCCCGTGGCAGTGCCAGCTCTGAGAGAAGTCCGGGACAAGGGATGGTTGGGAGCGGCTGAGATGTCCCACCTGCTGCAGGGAACCTTTACCATGAGTATATTTTTTATTCTCGTTTATCCCGTTTTTCAGAAGTCTGCAGTGTCACCACGGCCATGCTGGAGGAACCATGGGCAGGGCTGAAGGGCGCTGCAGGAGATGGAGCTGCAGGAGCTGGAGTGGGACAAAGCCAGACCTGCCAAAGTGGGCTCCAGCTTATGGAAACCCTCTGATCTCACCTCAGCTTCTCTCCCCAAATTTCTGCTGGGCCTCAGAGTTTTGTCCTGGGGACAGGGCTCCAAGACCCGCCCTCAGTGATGGGGCTCTGAGAACCCCTGGGACCATGTGCAGTGAGAGGGACCCCAGACATGATGGGGGCTTTGCCTTTTCACTGGTTTTGGATATTGTAAATCCCCCACCATCCCACTTTCCTGCAGGATTAGAGGAGCTGGATGGGACAGGAATCCTGATAAGCAGGGGGGGCTGGTGGTGTCCCTCCTTCACCTTTTGTTCAGACACAGCCATGCAGAGGGCCACAGGCTGTCCCCTTCCAAGTATGGCCCGAGCCACTGTCCCCATGAATGGCAGAACAGGCAGTGCTCCTCACGGAATGGAGCTGGGTTTCTCCAGCTCCCAGAGAGGACAGGAAGAACAGAGGGTATCCTTGGGGACCTTCCTGGGGACCAATCCTGGGATGGCCAATGGCCCAGTTCTGGAAGGTGTTGCTGGGAGCAGACACTGCAGTGGCAGGGGCTGGCAGTGCCCCAGGATTGGCAGGAAGGGGCTGGGGGCTCGTGGGTGGGGAGGGGGCTGTGGGTTAAAGGGGTGGGAGGCAGAAGGTGCTGGGTGCTGGCACCGACACCGGCTGTGCACGCAGCAGTGGGGGGCTCCTGCTGCCTGCCCTCATCACTGTCCCGAGGCACCCGCTAATTAACGCTGATTAAAGCACGTGACGTTGTTGGCGCTTCCAGAAGATGCTCATCAGTGGGGAATAATTAAAAAATGGAAAACACGGGGGGCGGTGCTGCCGGTTTTCCTTCTGTCCTGGCTGCCTGCCTGCACCTCCTGCCTGCACATGGGGCACCCATGGGGAATCTCAGCGCAGAGGGTGAGGGTGATGGACATTTCCCCGGCTGTCCCTCTTCTCTGGAAATAACTGATGGCCTCAGCTGTGCTCCCCATGAAACCAGAGCCACCGGGAAGCAGCTGCCAGGGAAAGTGATAGGGAGTGTGGGGCTGTCCTGCTCTCCCCAGCGGGGACATGCAACGGGGGGGCATTCTGGGGTGTCTGAACGTGTCTGTGCCAGGGTTTCACACTGGCAGTCCCATGGTTGGGGGTCAGATGGAGACTCCTGGTTCGGGAACAAGGCTGCTGTGTGTTCATCTGTGTGAGCACATCAAAATACTGCTCACAAACATGTGCACATGGACACACAGACATCCTGCATGCACAGGATCATGCACACATGAGCACACAGGGCTTTGGATGGCCATGTCAGGTCCCATTCATGCAGGGCATGGGACACCAGAGCTGCACCAAGGACTGGCAGTACCTAAGGGACATGTGGCTGCTCAGCCCTTGCCTGGCTGGGGACTGGTGCCCCCCCTTCTCCTTAGCAATAGCAACAAATTTAGACCAAGCCCTGGGACACACCACACTGAGGAATCCAGCAGCACAGCCGGTCCCAGCCACCAGCCAGGATCTGGTTCCCTCAGAGATTTCCCCAAGGGCAAAGCCTGTCCCCAGGCGAGTGCCCGGGGTCCCTGTTACCCTCTGGTTTCCGGGGTGTTTTCCTTGGGGAGGCACCCAGTGCCCCATGTGGCATCATTAAGGATCCCCTGGGTGTGCGTGTCCTGCCCAGAGCACTTCATCAGCCTGACTCACAGCCAGATGCCATCCCCGTGTCCTGTCACCATGTCCTGACACCACATCCTGCCCTCCACATTCCCGGCAGCTGGACCTGACAATAACCCAGCAGGAGCCACGTGGATCCTGCACCCTAAGCAGGGGATCTATGTGGACACACAACAGCGCAGAATTCAAGCTGGGGTGGCAAATTCATCTTTATGACAGCTTTTCTGGGGACCCCAAGTGCTGATGGAAGCCCCAGTCAAGGGGCCCATGGTGCTGCCTTGGCCAGCAGCTGCTGGGGGGCTGCCACTGAAGGGAGGCAGCGGCAGGCCCGGGTTCAGGTGGGGTCCCTGGGTGCAGGTGCTTGCTGGTGGCTTTGATGTCACCTTCCCCAGCAGACACCTGCTTGCATGGGACACATCAGGAGCATGGGGACCACAGGGCACAGGTGGCACCTGAGGTGCTGGGAGAGCTGCCCTGGGAGAATGCACGGGTGCTTTTCATCTTCAAAGCGCTCCCTGTGCCAGCTTTCATCCCAGCCCACCTGGGAGGTCTTTGCTATTCCCACCCCCATCTCCCAGTTCTTGGAGAGACGGGACCTGGCCAAGCTTTGCAGGAGGGAGGGAAGGAGGCAGGGGAGGGTGCATGGCACAGAGGGGAATCCCAACAGCTGGGGCTCTGCCGGGACCTGCCCGACCCAACCGCCGCCCTGCCATGCCTGCCGGGCCCCGCGCTGGCATGCTGCAGTGTGGAACCCATGATTCCCTTCCAGCACCCATCCACTCAGCACCCACAGCCCTGCACAGCTACAGGCACCCCAAGAGTCCCTGTCCCACCCCAACCTCCATCGCCCCAAGAGACAACACACAGCCTCCAAAACACAGGCATTTAATAAAACTGGCTGTATTATAATTATTATTATTTACAGATCAAACATAAGGAAAAGAGTAGAAAAGAGGAACTGTTCTCTTCATAAATACCAGGCCCAGCATGGTGGGGGCTTCTTGCCCACTGGCAGCCGGGAAGGGGAACACAGGCACCTGCAGACACTCACACAGACACACAGCCCTGGGCAGCTTGAAGCAGGGGGTCAGGTTTCCCCCTCACACCTCAAAGCACCAGGCTTTTCTTCAGCAATAAATGGGACCACCAGGATGTGGCCACCACCCCAGGCAGTGGGACCCCTTCCGTGGAGGCTGCAAGGGGGCAGCTCCTTCACCAGTGCAGTGTCCCAGCTCCGTACAGGGGGAACCAGCCCCTTGCACCCCACCCCGGGGTGCTGGTGAGGAGCAGGACAGGCAGGAGCTGCCAGCAGGGCAGCCACATGAGGCCCTGTGGGTGTTGAGGACCAGCCACACACCCAGGGACACGTGTCCTCTGCCTTCCCACGGGCTTGCAGGGACCTGGCACAGTGGTGGCACAGGGGTCTGACAATGGATCCCTGGCCACATCAGGCCAGTGATGCCGTAGCACAGCAGGGCTGAGTTCAAGGCTCCTGTCACCACCAAGAGGTCCCTGCTCCTCCCAGGGCACAGCCAGCGCTTTGTCCCCATCCAGCATTGCCCGCTTATGAGCGGCCCATCCCCGGTGCCCACCACAGCGCTGCTACACATCGGAGACCTGCTGGGGCTCCCTGGCCTGGCGCAGCCCGTAGAGCCACTTGATGACACGGGCGTTGCGCTCGATGATGGAGATGCCGTAGGGCACACGCTCCGCCGGCCGCCCCTCCGGCGTGGCGGCGCTGGGTGGCGAGTGGCCGCCCTCCGAGCTGGCCGTGCTCACGCTGTGGAACTTGAGGGACACGATGTCAGAGCTGGCGCGGGCGAAGCGCTCAGCCGCCATGTCCTGCATCTCCTCGGGGTCAAGGCCGCAGTAGTTGAAGAAGCGCTCCAGGTCGGCGGTGGCCCTCGAGAGCCGATCGCTCAGGTCCGACTTGGAGCGGTGCAGCAGCGGCTGCCGGCGGGCGCTCTCCGGGCGGGCGGGTGAGCTCCGGGACGGGGTCACAGGCAGCCCACCTGGGATGGGGGATGCAGGCAGAGGTGTCACTGGGCTCCGCGGAGCTCCACAGGGACGGACGTCCACCCTCCGCACGGCCACGCTGCCGGGGGGTTTGGTGGTGGCCGGGTTCTCTGGCGGCTTGACAGCCCCCTCCACCTCTGGCGCTTCTGCCCGCCACCTGCACTCCCTGCCCAGCGGGCTCTCCGCCTTGGGGAAGGGACTGTCACAGAGGTTGATGAGGTTGTTGAGGATCTCCAGGTCAAGGGAGGTCTTCGGGCTGGCAGCATCGGCGCGGCGTGGCCCCGGGGGTGCCCTGCGGCTGGGGGTGAGCACAGCCCGGCGCACCCCGGGGGTGAAGAGGGGCTGCTTGAGCAACAGCGGCTTCACCGGCTCCTGCTTGGTGCTGGCGACCTTCTGGCTCTTCACGTACTTGGCCTTGTCGGCCTCCAGCCTCTCCACCGCGCTGGGCTTCCCGGCCCCCGGCTCGGCGTGCCGGCGGAAATACGCGGGCCCTTTGCGGAGGATACGGACGGGCATGGCCGAGGTGAAAGGCACCGTCACCCCCTTCATGGTGTCACCGGCTTGCAGCGCCTCGACGGGCATCCTCCGTGCCGGCAGCGGGACACGCGTGAGCGGCCGCCACGGGCAGCGAGGGGCTCGTTCGGGTGCCGTCGGCTGCGGAGCGAGAGCGGGGCCGGAGTGAGAGCGGCGGCGGTGCTGCCCCTGCCCGCGCCCCGGCCCCGCGGCGGACAAAGGCAGCCCGGGCTGTGCGGTACCGCACTGGCTGCGCCCCCGGCTCCAGGCTGCCTATTTGAAGGCGGTCACCACGCCTCCGCCGCTGCCGAGCCTCCCCGGCAAGTCCCGCGGCCAATCCGCGCCGCACGCCTGCTTCAAACCGCACCGGGCCAATGGCGCCGGCGGGGAGGGCGCCCCGGTGCCGGCGAGGGGCACCCCGGGGAGAGAGTGCGGCGGAGAGAGCCAAGCACCCCTCACTGATGCTCTGCCCGAGTCGCAGGTGCCGGGGGTGCATCGCATGTGCCCATCGTCCATGCTCAGGGATGCACTGCTCACATCCAGGGGGGCAAAACCTTCTCCCATGCGTGCAACACCCACTCCCACGGGAGCACTGATTGCTCCCAGGGGTGCCTCATCTATATCCTTGCATCACCCGTGACCAGGGGTGCGTTGCCTGCTCGCAGGCGTGCATCCCCCATGCCCAGGGTTCCATCACCCATCACCCTGCCGGGCTGGTGGGTTCCGTGCTCCACTCCCTCTGCTGTTCCCTCGGCTCTCACAAGCTCCGGGGCTGTTCCCAGGCTCCCTGCTCTCATCCTGAAGCTCCTTGGAAAGTAAGTGGAGCGCACGGGGGTTTCCACTCGTGCTTCCCCGGCCGCGGTGTGCTCGGGGCAGCGTGGGGCCCTGTGCACCCCGTGTCCTTGGGTCCCTGCCAGCCCCAACAAGCGCAGCCGCCACAACGGTCGCGCAGAGCGAAAAGGTGGGGGAGGGCACCCAAACCAGCCCGACACCCTTCTGCAGCCCCCTGACCAGAGGGGGACACACCAAGAGTAACCCAAATATCCAGAGGGGCTTAGCAGTGGCAGGGCACACAGGAGCATATGTGGGTCAGACCCCCCTCCCCCAACCCCTTTCCAAGCTGCTCTGAGATTCCTCCTGAGGGTCCCGATTTGGGGCACTGATGAGCCCGAGGATGTGACAGCAAGCCCCAGCACTCACCAGGTGCAGTGGTGGGCAGGGCGGAGCCGGTGTGCTGTGGCCTCACTCGCTCCCGTGGCAGCCCCGAGCAGGCAGCTGCCACCTTCACCTGCTCATCTGCATGCACAAACTTCCTGGGAGCAGCCCAGAGCCAATCCCAGCAGCAGGAGCAGCCCAGAGCCCATCCCAGCAGCACCCAAAGCCCTGCCAAGCTGTGGCTGAGCCACAGCTGAGCCATGTCTGCACCCCTTACCAGCCCACGGGTGCCAAATTCCCCAGAATCTGGACCCCAGCAGGATCCCTGCTCAGCAAACATCCCGGTGACTCGCTGTGACAGACGAGTGGCCATGGGGAGGCTGGCTGCCCCTCTCCCCATTCTCGTCCCCTGCCTGGGGGGACATGCTGCCTCCTGACCTGGAAAATGTCTGCAGGGGGGCAGCCAGGCGTGTGACAGCTGGGAACGGTCCCAGCACTGGCACAGATCCTCCTGCCTCCTCCCCGGGGCAGCTTTCTGCACCCCTCTGCCCGACCCCTCGGGTCCAGTGCTGCTCCACCCCTGTGCCAGCTTCACTGCCCTTGTACCTGTGCCCAGCACAGGGAGGGCTCCCCGGTTCAGCACAGGGGTGCAAGAGTGTCCCCCAGGCAAGGCAAAGCAGGAAAATGTCCCCACTTCAGGCACTGGAGATCAGTCTTGTACCAGACACCCAGCCAAGCCACAGAGGAGATGGCTGTGAAGTGTAGGGACAAGGACATGGGAGCCCCAGCACAGCTGCCAGTGGCCGGCGTGGGGACCCCTCCCCAGCACGGACAGCCCAGCCGGGCACAACCTGCTGCTCCACATTCCTGCAGCGCTGAGCCACTGCGCTGGCACGGCCACACCGAGCTGGGCTGCACCGAGCCAAGCTGAGCCGAGCGGAGCCGCCCTCCAAACAGCCCCAAAAACTCGGCAACAAACAAATCCCATGCCCCAAACCCAGCTGGAGTGCGGGGATCTGAGCTCTGGGCATTGCCCAGTGTGGCCTCAGCTCCTCTCCCTCCTGGGGTGGGCAGTCCAGCCAGGCTCACACGGCACACCAGGCCACCTCCTGCCTGGAGGAGCTGCTCCGGAGGTACACAGTTGTGACCCCTTCAGCGGCTCACCCAGCCCCACTCTGCTGGCACTGGACCAGCACGGGACCATCACCCCCTCTGCCACCCACCTGGATGGGCCTCGTTGGCGAGGATCAGCTGCCACACTTTTTCTCCCTGCTCTCTTTCCCAGGATGTCCTGATGGTGTCCTGATGTCCCCACCCTCCTGCTCCCCAGCCACGTCCTGCCCGTCTCCCGTGTGATGGCGGCTGCAGGGTGCCAGAGCGGTTCTGCATGCGGCGGCTGCCGCTGAGTCAGCGCCGGGCGAGGACGCCCTCGGAGGCAACTCAGCGCTCACACGGGATGGAAACCACAGGGCATTCCTCCGTGCCAGGCTGTGCCACGCAGCGAGCGGTGCCTGGTGACGTCCCCGGTGCCGGTTCAGCCCGCGGGGCCGGCTGGGCAGCCTGGATGCACACACGGCCCGAGGTGCTCACAGTGACGAATCCAAAATGCATCTGGATGTCACAGCTCGCTGTGGGCAGAGGGTCCTTGTGCTGGGTTAGGGTTTCAGGGACACAGGGGAAATTCCCAGCCTTCCTGTGGGCACCCAGATTCCCTCATATCAGTGGTATGGTCAGTTGGCAGGGCCTGCTCTGATTTGGAAATCTCAGCTTGTTTCTCCACTCACCCAGCAGCAATGAACTCCAAAACATAGGAAAATAAACTGGATAGCAGGAAGGGAAGTGACAGACTGGAACAGGGTCACCAAGGCTGCAGCCACCTGGACCTGCTGGCCTGAACCCAGCCCCAGGGTGGCTCCTGCCCCATGGTTCAGGCATCTCCATTCAGCTCTGCACAGAGGAAACAAGCTTTTGGCTCATGCTGTGGAGCTCAGTTACAGCCCTGCATTGTTCAAATGGCTCCTGGAGCAAGACAAGGAGCTGGTGGAGGGAGAAGAGCCAAGGGAAGCACAGAGTCTGCCCTGAGCCCAGATTCACACAACGGGCTCAGCTAGAAAATCCCAGTTGGCAGGCGAGGGCAGAGCCCGCAGGCTGCGTCCCCCCACAGGTGCCGAGGCCGTGCGGGTGCAGGCAGGAGGCTGCAGGAGCTGCAGGAGCTGCTCGGGCACGTCTGGCCCGTTGGAACGGGGCGTTGGATCCAGGCAGCGCCCCAAGCCTCGCCCTCCCCGGGAGCATCCCGGGACATGCCCCGGGAGGACAGGCTCCTGCAGGAATGCTCCTCCAGCACCCGGTGCAGCATCCCCACCGCTGCCCCAGGAACACATGGACGGTGTTTGTGAGCAGAGGGACAATGAGGTGCTGGCAGTGCCTTTGCTCTCACCTCCTACAGACACCCTCGTGCCACTGCCAGGACGTCTTGGATGGTAAATTAAGCTGCCAATGAGCAGAAAACACACTCAGCACCCAATTCCCCCCGTGGAAGTGCTGGGTGGAGGCAGCTACGGGTGCCTGGCAACACCTGCCAAGCTGCAGGGGTAGGGCTCATCACTTTGCATGGGCAAAGGCATCCCCAGAGCTGAGAGATCCCCAACCTCTTCATCTTGGGTGCTTTATTGCAGCCCGTTGTCATGCCCTGACCCAGGATAAGCCACCACTTGCTCCTGCCTCAGTTTCCTCAGCAAGAGCTCTACAGAGCTGCTCCAGAAGGAACACGGGGACAGAATGCAGAGGCACCCACTGCACCCAACATCACCCCATTCCCTGTGGGCAGGGGGAACGATGCTGCCCGCACCCGGACGTTCACACTCCGTCTCTGCTCAGGGATCCAGGAGCCAGGGAGGTGACAGATGGGGACATGCTGGGCACAAGGCCTTTGTCTGGCCGGTGGTGGCGGCGGCACAGACCCGCAGATGGCGGCTGCCGTGGGGCCGTGGCCACAGCCCATGGCCAGGCAAGCACTGGGCCCTGGGGATCCGGCCCTTTTGTTGGGGTCTCACCTCCGGCAGCGGCCCCTTCCCTGCTGCCCCCACCAGCCTTTCCACTTTCAACTTGACCTGCTCCTTTCACATGGAAATGGAATGCAAATAGGGCTGAGGCTGCCAGGGTCCAGGCTGAGACCCGCCAGCAGGTCCCCAAGTCTGGGGGGCCATACCCTCTCAAATAGGGTGGCCAGTAGTCCCTGGAGTGAGGGGGTCCCCTTGTCTCCCCATGGAGTAGCAGCCACCCTCTGCCCAGGCAGACCATCCCCACTGCTCACACGTGAAAAAAGATATTAGAGGATGGGTCTCACTAAGGCTGAGCTCAAGGACAAATCTCTGCTTTTCTGGGCTGCCAATCTTCCCATGTCCTCCTGCCACCCTGTTACTCCCATGGCATGGGCAGTGTGCCCACCCTGGGGATCCCCTCTGCACCCCCTGGCATGTGCTGGCTTGCAGTTGGGATGGGCTCCCCAGCCCTGGCTGGGTGAGGAGGGGGCTTCCTGGAGGGATGGTCACCACAGCCCAGCAAAGTCCTGCAGGCAGGGACCACTCGGCTACCAAATGTTGCCATCTGCTCCGGGGCCTTCGCTCGCATCTGCCGGGGGTACGGAGGGGCGAGGGGCTGGGGGGGGCCGGGGGTTCAGCTGGGGGGCGGGCAGGGGGCGGGGAAGGCACGGGCAGGGCAGGCAGCACGTGTGGCGTGGATTTGGGTGAAGGGGCAACACAGAGATCCCACACCCAGCGCCCCGTCGAACTGCCTCTGCCCTATAGCCATTTGTCCATGGGGAAAGGTCTCACTGCCGGCTGAGGTGCCTCTTTGTGCCGACAAATTAAACACAGGACAGTTGCTGTCCCCTCCCTGTCCCCATGCCCATGGACACACAGTGGCCTCAGCTGCCCCGCGCCCACCCCAGGCTCTCTATATCTGGTTTCCTCAGCACCTTGCACCTGCTCCCCACCTTCCAGGTACCCTGGGGTCCTGTACTGGTTTAACTGGGATAGAGGTCATTTTGCCCACAGCGACAGGACTGTTTTGGAGTTGTGCTGACAGCAGTGCTGATAACCCAGGAGTGTCTGATCTTGGCTGAGCGATGTTCACAGAGCCCCAAGGACTTCTCCGCTCCTCCCACTGCCCCATCAGCAAGCGAGAGTGCTGGGGTGCATAGAAATTTGGAGGGGACATGGATGGAACAGTTCTGCCACTCCCCCTCCCTGCCCTGCCCTGGGATACCCTGGACTTACAGGACATCCTTGCTGTTCCTATTAAGCTGATCCGTCAGTTTAGTCCCTTTTACCATTTTATCTTTCCCCATTTTGTACCCCATCCCACCGGGGGTGTGTGTGCGTGAGCAGCTGAGGGGGTCTAAGCTGCCTGCTGGGATTAAATCACAGCAGTACCTCAAACTGTGACCATCCCCCTCCAGTGTCACCCAGCATCCCTGCAGCCCCGGGGACAAGACTTGTCCCCACTGCTCCCAACGGCTGCCATGGGCGCTCCCACAGGCGCAGGGCAGGGTGTGGAGCAGGAGGAGGGTGCAGGAGCAAACCGTAGTCCCCCGGAGGGACAGGGCCAGGTAGGGGCACTGCAGATAGGCGGGGCAGGGAAGCGGTCCGGGAAGCAGACGGGAAGAGGCAGCCCCAGGTTCCGCAGGGCTGCAGCCGCTCTCCCAGCGACACCCGGTGGGTGCTGGGGGAAGAGCTGCCATGAGGCATCCTGGGGCGGTGGGTCCTGGCTCGGGAGAGGGGGGATTGCTGCTGGGGGTGACCGGGGGTCTGTCTCCTCACCCGTGTCGCCTCCCGACCGGTGCAAGGGGCTCATCCGCCGGCTCGCGGCTCGGTCCCCGCAGTGTCCCGAGGTGGGACAACTGCCACATTCGGAGGTTCCCCCAGCGCCCCGTGCCAAGCCGTGAACCCCGCAGAGACCCCGATGGGGACAGGAACCGTCATCGGGTGACACTTGCACCTGCAAGAAGAGTCTGTGATAGCCGGGACGCAGTTCAGGCGGGGACAAGGACAAAGTCCAGGACACCGCCGAGAATAATAACCCCCCCGAGCTGAGCACTCTGCCAGCCGGGACCAAGACGAGGAGCAGAGCAAGGCCAGGCTGTCACCGGTCCGCATGCGGAGGTGGTGACGCGCCCTCCTCACGTCACGGCTCCGGCAGCCAGGACTGGCTCCCGCCCGCGTGGTGCTGCCGGTTCCCCGGAGCGCAGTGAGTTACCCCTGGGAGCTTACCGAGGGACCGGTCACACCGGAGCCCGTTTCCTCCCCGGCTCCCGCTGCCAGCCCGGTGCCTCCCCGCGGGGCCGGAGCCATGGCTGGGTGGCTGTGCCCGCCGGGCTCAGCCCCGTGAGATGTGAGTTTCCTCCCACGGCCTCAGCGCTCCGGGGAAGGGCTGGGAACGGCTCCGCGGGACCGGGCGGGCGCGGAGCGTGGGGACACGGGACGTGAGGGTTCCTCCCCGGAGCGGGATGGGAGTGGGCAGGGGATGTGTCCGGAGCCCGGCTGACTCAGCTGAGTGGCACGGGGCTGCGGGCTGGGCTACCGGGGCCTGGCCCCGCGGCCACCGGAGCGCGTCAGGATCGCGCAGGGACGGGCTGGAAGGGGACGGGCGCTGCGTCCGCCTGCCCTGCAGATGCAGTGGGAGGTACGAGGAGTCCGTTCCCAGCAGAGCAGCTGCCCAGGCCACTCCGCCCCCAGGGGAGAGCCCTCTTCCCTCTGCACCCGGCTGTGCCGAGCCCTTCCAGGCTTCACGGAACTGCAACGTGAGTTGGCACAGGTTCAATGCCCTCCTGGGTACCGCACCTGGTGGTGCCAAGCCTCAGCTCTCCGGGATGAGACCGGGTGAAGCTCATCAGGATCCACACCCAGGGCAGGAGGGCACCATATAATCACTTGAAGGGGGCAGAGGGGTCCACAGGGCCTGCAGAGGGCAAAGTAGGGCTGGGCTGGGCTGTGCGTCCCACACCCTTGTGGCATGTAGGAGGGAAGCTGTTTCGCAAAACAGGCAGTGGTCATGGGAGGACAGGGCCAGGATCTGGAAGGGTCAGTTCTCACCTCACCACTCATCAAAGTCTCTCCCCACAGCACAGCAGCGTCACTCGCAGGTCCAGGCACCCAGCCCTGAGCCATGGCACTGCTCACCCACATTCTGGCCTGTGCCTTCGGCATGGGCTCCTGGGTGGCCATCAACGGGCTGTGGGTGGAACTGCCACTGCTGGTGACGGTGCTGCCAGAGCAGTGGGACCTCCCCTCCTACATCACCATCATCATCCAGATGGCCAACGTGGGACCACTCTTCGTCACCCTCTTGAATCGCTTTCGGCCTGGCTTGCTGAAGGAGGAGGCTGTTATCTATACAATCGTGTCCATGGGTGTCATAGCCTGCTTGCTCCTGGCTTTCCTCTGGAGCCACACATCTCTCATTGCTGGAACATCCCACAGCACCCCCTTCCTAATCCTTACCTTCTTCCTGTCCTTGGTGGACTGCACCTCCTCTGTCACCTTCCTGCCCTTCATGATGCAGCTGCAGCCCCAGTACACAAACACCTTCTTCATAGGCGAAGGGCTAAGTGGGCTGATCCCTTCTCTTATTGCCCTGGGCCAGGGCTCTGGTATCTCCAGCTGCACCAATGTAAGCTACAAGTTCAACATCACTACTGGCAATGAGACCGTGGAGCACACCGACTTCCATATGGAGAGCCGCTACCTCCCACCCAACTTCTCCACCCTCATCTTTTTCCTGCTCATGACTGCAATGATGCTGACCTGCTTGCTGGCCTTCTTCTTCCTCACCCGGCAGCCCAAGGTGTGGGACCTCTCTCAGCAGCACCTCTTTCCCAGCAGCATTGTGCTGAACTCATTTGATCAGATCCTTGACGAGGGAGCTGACTCGCACCTGAGCAGAGGCTGTCCATGCCCAAAGGATCCCAAGGGACCTGGGGACATCCTGACACAAAAGATCTCCTACTCCTTAACCCAGCTCACCCTCATCTACCTCCTCGTCGCCTGGGTGAGCGCCCTAACAAACGGGGTCCTGCCATCCGTGCAGTCCTACTCCTGCCTGCCCTACGGACACACCACGTACCACCTGGCAACCACGCTCAGCTCCATGGCCAACCCCCTGGCCTGCATCGTGGCCATGTTCCTGCCCAGCAGGTGAGTTACAGGGCCCTGGGGGTGGCAGCAGGGTGCACACCAGGGGCTTCTGCCCCATGGGTGGCCCCTACTTTGCAAGGGTTGGGGTTATAGGCACTGGGTGGGAGAGGGCCTGTGGGGTGTCCATGCCCTGGCAGCACAGACAACGCAGGAGAGGAGGATGGAGCCAGCAAGGAGCCGGAATGTGCTGCGTGTCTGTGCTGCTCACCAGGGGAAGGTAGTGTTCTCCAGTGACACTCACATGTCCCTTGCAGGTCCCTGACCCTGATGGTCATCCTCACTATGGCAGGGACAGGCTTTGGTGCCTACAACATGGCCATCGCAGTGATGAGTCCCTGCCCACTCCTCCAGCAGTCCCAGTGGGGCGATGTCATCATCGTAAGTCACAGTGTCCCTCTCACTCAGGGAGGCCTTTGATGCCACACCTGGACCTGACCTCACCACAATGTCCCCACCGTGGGGAACCCCTGGCCCTGACCACTTTTCCACCTGTGCCACCAGGTCCTCTCCTGGGTGTTGTTCACCGGGACGCTCTCCTACATGAAGGTGATGGCCGGGGTGATCCTGCGGAGCTGCAGCCACAGCGCGCTGGTGTGGTACGGGGCGCTGGAGCAGCTGGGCTCCCTCCTCGGGGCACTGCTCATGTTCCCCCTTGTCAACGTCTATGGCCTTTTCCAATCTGCTGACTACTGCAGCCAGCAGTGCCCAGCATGAGTGGGGTGGATGCCCCAAGACCGCTGCTCTTGCCAGCACGAGCTCCCAAAATCGGCGAGGCTGGCTGGCTGGGAAGCAGCGCTGGGACCAGGACGGCTGCAGACACAGCTCCCTGATGGGCTCTGCCAGGATGCAGCATCTCCAGGGCTTTGTCCCCAGTCTGGGCACGGGGTGTTCCATCCTGTGAAAGCAATAGAAGGTGTTTTACTCAGCCCTCTGCCTCCATGCTGCCTGCACCCCCCATGTTGAGCAGGCTGTCTGTGCCAGTGCCCCCCACCTGGGTACCTCTCAACTGGGGCCATGCCCAGTCCCTTCCCCTGGGGGATCCAGCACCATTGGCATCGTGCCCTGAAGCCCCCCTGGACTCTGTGGGTGGGTACAGCCCCAGCTGCACCCGGCAGCGCCGGTGGCGTTCCTGGCCCTGTGGCAGCTGCCCCCAGACAGGGGCTCTGCAGCCGGCTGGGGGGAGTGGGGACAAAGGTGGCCGTGGGGAGGGGGATGGTGGGGGAACACGGAACATTCACAACGCCCCCAGTAGCAGCTGGGGAAACTGAGGCACAGTGGGACTGGAGTGATGTGTGATATTTGCCACCCTCTGCTGTGGTCCCATCCCATACTTTCTGCTCCATCCCCATAGCCATTTGCCCCCCTGCATCCCATTTCAGCCCCGCTGCACCTTGAGGTGGGTTGGTACCTTGGGATGGGGGGGCTGCAGCAGAGCCTCGCACCAGAGCAGTGCAGGCAGAGGGTCCGTGGCAGGGGTGGCACAGCACCAGTGCCAGGCTTGGCCCACCTGGTACCTAACTGTGCCCCAGCCAGGGCAGGGCCGAATGGACACTGGGACAGGGCAGGCACGGGAGGTCAGGGCAGCGGCAGCCCCGGGATGGGACAGCACCGTGCCCTGCACGCGCCTGCGCCCCTTCCCTGGGGCACGAGGCAGCCGGGCCTTTGTCCCCGGCCCTTTGTCTGGCATCTGCTCCCTGCGCCGGCGGCAGCACCAGAGCACGGATTGGAGCCACTTCGGGGCTCCGGCTGCGACCCGGACGCCTCTGGGAAGAACGAGACTGGAATACCTAATGGCCAGCAGCCCCCCAAACTGGCAGTGGTGGGGGTCCTGCAGCTGAGGCAGCAGAGAGAGCAGGAGTGGGGGCTCTGCCTCCTGGCACCAGTGGGCATCCTCTGGCAGATCCTGGCTGATCCCACAGCCCCTGTCCAGGATCCATGGAGGATGGGGGAGCTGAGGACCAGTGGGAGATGTGGGGGCACCGCCAGGCAGTTTGTCTCATTCCAGTAGCAGGATATGTCCCTTGTGGGTAGACTGGGAGCTGGAGTAAGGACCTGACCTCTCTCCTCCTGCCCCCCAAGAGGATGATCCTGCCCTTGGGAGCCCCCAAAACCCCTCACCCACAGTACCCCTGCAGCCCCCTCCCTCTTGTCGGGGAAACAATTGCCTCCAATGGGAATTATTTCCATACAGCTGCTCAGGAAGGCACAAACCCGGTGGAGGAAGGCTGAGCCTTTCTTCTGGCGCTGCTCCCCCTCCCCACAGTGGCGGGGGCAGGTTTGGGGGGGCCCAGGCGCTGCCGTCAGCGCTATCAGCTCGGCAGGGCTGGCTGCGGTTATTACCATACATTATCGCAGTCCCCTGCCTCCGAAAGGAGCCGGGGCTGCTCCCCCCTCCCAGCCCTCCCTCCTCCTGCCTTTTACACTTAATTACCTCCCTTATTACACCGCAGCCTGGAGAGAGACAAAGTCCCAGGGCAGCGGGCAGGCAGGCAGCGGGCAGCGGGCAGCGGGCAGCGGGCAGCGGGCAGGCAGCGGGCAGGCAGGCCCAACTAGGGCGTAAGTAATCACCCGTTCTGCAAGCGTGCCTGCCAGGGGAGCACGGGCACACGCACGGATAGATAAATCAGGG